AAGGTTCTCGATACACAGAGAATTGCAATCTCATCATCTTTCGACTTTCCTCAAGCATGGAAAGTATTATCCGGTGGATTTTTCTTCAAGTATAGAAAACCGCCAAGTCGGCTTTCCTCAGGCTTGGAAAGCGTTATCGGTGGATTTTTCTTCAAGTATAGAAAACCGCCAAGTCGGCTTTCCTCAGGGTTGGAAATCGTTATCGGTGGATTTTTCATCAAGTATAGAAAACCGCCAAGTCGGCTTTCCTCAGGCTTGGAAAGCGTTATCGGTGGATTTTTCTTCAAGTATAGAAAACTGCCAAGTCGGCTTTCCTCAGGCATGGAAAGCATCATCAGTGGATTTTTCTTCAAGTATAGAAACCACAAAATTCCTTTGTCGGCTTTCCTCAAGTATGGAAGGCATTAGCGATGGATTTCTTCAAGCATAGAATGACACCAAATTCGTTCGTCGACTTTCCTCAGGCATGAAAAGTATTATCCAGTAGCTTTCTTCAGGCTTAGAAAACTGCCAAACTCTTTAGTCGACTTTCCTCAAGCATGGAAAGCGTTTCAACCAATGTCACTCAGTAGATTCCTTCAAGCTTAGGAAGCTGCCAAATTTGTTTGTCACCGACACACTGGTGCCACATACGTATTCTATCCCGTTACTCTTTTATCTGTGGAATTAACATTTTTCTGCAGGTATCGGCGTATACAGAATGATTTAGGATCGCAGAACGTCTTAAATCATTCTTTGTCCCTATCGGCTACTTTGACTATTGTTTTCGAAACTGACGTTTCTGCAAACTCAGTCAAAGTGGGGGCTTCTGTAGACACCTAAAAATGTCTCCCCAAAACCAAACCCGATGATAAATAACCTTTCACCTCCACTATTGGTCGGGTTTAGTATTTAATCCCGAGAGTGCTTGAAAAATCGTATTTTATTAAATTCATACCTTTGAAAGGTCCATGGATTAGTCTTGATGTTTGGTAAAAGCATAGTTTTAATTTTAGCCCAAGCTTGTTAATTAATTTTAAGCCCAAACCTTTTTATTTTATTATTTATTTTTGGCCCAAATATTTTATTTATTTTTATTTCATTATTTTCTTATTTTAGCCCGAATAATAAAAGTCAGGAAAAAGCCCGAAATTATCAATCGGCACTTAAAAAGCCGAAAGAAATTAGGGTTAAAAATGAATTTAGACGGACTGGAACTGACCGTGTCACGGTACAGCCTGACCGTGTCACGGGAACCCTTCCCGTCTGACGGGGGGACTTCCCGTGACACGGGAGGTCTGCCGTGACGCGGGATGTTCCGTGTCCTTTCCGCGTAAACCCTTAACGCGTTTTCCGTTCCGTTTTCTGAAAATTTCCCGCGTCACTCCAAAAATTGTACCGTGTCACGGGAAAGTGTACCGTCTGACGGTACAGTCTGACCGTGTCACGGAACAGTCTGACCGTGTCACGAGATACTTTTTTAGGGTTTTTATCATTTTAGGGTTCCGTGTGCTCCCTCAGCACATTTTCCCTATAAATACCCCCTCATTTCTGATGTACGGGGCAACGAAAATTTTATTATTCTTATTTTCTCTCCTCTATGCTATTAACCTAAACACTATCCTACCCTTTTCACTTCAAAATTCCTTCTTCAAGCACTCAAAGGAGTCCATATTTTACTTGAGGTTTTGTCCTTAAGCCAAGGCGTGAAAGGTAGAATCGTTTGAGGGTTTGGCCCCAAAATCAACTTTAGTTTAATTTAATTTAATTTAGTTATTGATTTATGATTTCCTTGAAGTTACTAACTCGTTTATTATTTTGTAGTTGCAAACAAACAGATTCAAAGTAAGGATCGTGCTCTTTTATTATTATTATTATTATTATTATTATTATTATTATTATTATTATTATTATTATTATTATTATTATTATTATTATTTTTCTAACAATTTTACGTTGTTGGAATTGTGATTAAGTGGTTTTAATATTAATGTTTATTCTATTATTTATTGATCAACATATTGCATGTTAAAGGGAATGTGTAATTGAAAATCACGACTAATAAGATAATTTGGACAATCGGTTTAGGATCCCTTTTAATCTTATTATTAATTGAAGTGATCACCAAATTTTTAGAATTATGTGTGCATTAATTTTGAACCAATTTAGTTAAATAATAGTTTGGAGCAAATTGAATCTTTGTTTGTATGCCTTTGAGATCGCAGGAATCATTTTTCAATATAAGAATTGAGTAGAGGCCAATACGGGCGAATGTGACTCCATGACTCACTTCGTACCATCATCCCCGATACTCCTTTCGTGGTTCCGAACCATATGGAGTTAGTAATCTCATGGATTATGAATGGGGTGTAACCTTCACGGGTCAATCGTTGTTGCCTATCGTTGTCCCTTTATCGTGGTTGCCTTTTATGATCCGTGAACGGTTTACAAGTTCCTTAAAAACTTGTTGGCGGCTCCCTACTTTATTTGTCCCTAATTGTTGTCCCTAATCGTAATGTCAATTCCCACTTCCTATGAGTGCCAAGCATATTCACACATGCTTTTTAACGTAGGCGCACTTCGAGCGATGCCTACACTAATTAATTCATCTTTTGATTCATTAATCCTCTTTTAAGGAAAACTAAATTAGGATTGAAATGATAAAAGACAATAAAAATAGAGAAAATACAAGCTTATCTCCTTGATAAACATATGGCTAAAACGTAAATAAATCAACAACCTTTTGTCATATATGAGTCCCACTGTTTTTTATTCATTTACTAAAATGACATGATGACTAGACAAAATGGGAAAAATATAAATAAATCAACATTTTTTTTTTGTCATATATGGATCTCATAGTTTTTGATTTATTTATAAAAATTTCATCATGATTAGACAAAATTATTGATTTATTTATGATTTTGCCACTTGATAAACAAATTTTGTCTAACAAGGACTTCCTCATAAAATTAGTGAAGGATGAGATAGAATGAGAAAATTTGGAAAAGAGATGGTATCAAAGAAATAAGAAGAAAAAATTGATTAGTAGGGCCAACAATATTATATAATTATTTATTTATTTATTTATTTATCATTCCCTTCCTAAAAGCCATATCTAGACCAAACAATAATGTCAAAAATGGAAAAACTATTTTTACCATTTTAGTAGAAAAGTTAACTTGATCTTAGAAACTAAAAATAGTGGAGAAAACTTGTATAAATTGTATTTTCTTCAAAAAGAAGAATGGGCCACTGAAGTTATGATTAAGTATACCACATATGAGGTCAAGGAGAAAAAGATTCCTATGGTAGTATAGTAATCTTTTGGATTATGGATTCTTTGAGTGTTACAATATAGAAGTTTGTTATACTTATGAATTTATTTAAGGAGATTTGGAAATAATAGATCGAAACCAATTATGTCTAATCAGGCTTAATATTCTTCTATCCATCACTCAAATGACTCCTGAATTCAATGTATTTGTTCTGTCAAAAAAAAGAATTCAATGTATTTGCGAGGGCTATAAAACAATAAATGCTATGTAACATTTTCTTAGTTATGCGATGGTTTTGATGAAGATTAAATTATGACCTTAACGTGAGGAGCTAAATCTTGATGTAATTAACCTTTTCAAATATAAGTCGCAAGGGAGTTAATTACTAAAACTATCGGGAAGTCTTTATCCCTGTTCAACAAAGGGTATGATAAAAGGGTGAAATGTGTGTAGTGAAGATTGAAGAGGGCACATAGATGATAAAACACATGCATGGTAGACTAACTATGTAAGAAAATGTGAGAATCTAAAAGTAGAGAAATATTAGCACAAATATACTTTATATATGTTCATGAGATTTATATAACCATAGCTTGCAGCCTTCTTTGCAATTATAATAATATTATCAAGCAACCTTAATGTGTGCAACAAATGAATGAGTACTAAGTGCCATAGAAAACAATCCATCATGGTAATTCACAGAATCACTAGCCTATTGCATAAATGGTTGTACAAACAAAGTGCAATTCAAATGGACAAGCAAAGAGGAAGAAAACTAGAATGAAATTGACTATGGAGTGACATTTATTAACGTGAACATATTGACTACTAATTAAATGGTAAAATCTAAATGGTAGCCATTTTCGACCCTCGCTCTTCCTGTTTTGTTCTACTAGATGAAAGATTTAGGAAAATTGAGATATTTTAGGAAGTTTAAAGTTCATGTATCTACTTAGAGATTCCTCTTGTCTCCAAAAAAAAAAAAAAGTATGTTTTTTTTTTTTTTTTGACAAGACGAGCTAAGAAAGAAGACAAAACAAAAAACAAGAAACTAAAAGGACCAATAAAGCAAATGACGACGACGAGCTTGAACCGCCAACCAATGAGCTGGTGCAACCCATTGACGCGGAACCTTCCGGACTTCACAAGCAGCTAGCCTATGAACAACCTCTCCTATATCCTGAATCAACCATAAGCAAGAAATATCTTAACCAACTTGTCCCCGTAAGATGGTAAACAAAGCCGAACAATCAGTATAAATCAGCAACCTTCTAAAACCCCGACGATCAGCAGCCCTGAGAGCCCACAAACAAGCTTACAATTCTGAATGAAAAGCCGAGGAAGAAAGGAAGGCACGAGAACCACCCCCAACCACCATATCCGAATCAGGAGAACGGAAAATCCAACCAGCTCCCGCAGCATTATCCCGTGCTTCGAATGCTCCATCAATTACTAGAAAGATATCCAAGGTTGCGTCGGAAGGACCATAAAACAAACAGGACGGGACAGAAGACCTTGAACCCAAACGAGACCCAACGCCAGGAGATCGAAGTGAATCATTATAATCCTGTGCTACAAAGGTTCGAGAAGCCCAGTCCTGCATGAGATGACAAACCAAGGCCGGAGAAAGAACAGCTTGTCGGAAAATCTTATGATTACGAGCAATCCAAACTGCCCAGAAGAAGGAAATCAAGTAAACCATCGTCTCCCATGATTTCGACTGTCTCAAAAACAAAACCAAATTCACAAAACAATCCAAGATCGATATATCTTGACGAACAACGAGCGTTGAAAACCTTGGAATGGAGGACCAGATAGCTGAAACAAAGGAGAAATCTCGAAAAAGATGATCTGAAGTCTCTGGAGCGCTAAGACAGAAGACACAAGTAGGATCCACCAGAACTCCCCTTGATCGCAAAACCTCATTAGAGGCAACGCATTTTGAAGGAACTTCCAACAAAAGCATTGCAACTTTGGTAGGAGGGGTAAACCCCAAAACACTTTCCACCATGAAGGAGAAAAGGAATAGACAACACCAGAATAGTGTTGACCAGAAACCACCATTGCGTAGGCTGACTTGGTTGAGAATCGACCATCTTTAGAAAACTTCCAGTACACAAAATCATCCATTGGTCTACTAGGACGTTCCAGAGCTAAAATACGAGAGGCTGTCAAAGAATCAAACAACTGACGGATCTTAGAAGTGTCCCACGCGTAAGAACGCGGATTAATAATAAAGGAAACATGAGATGGATGAGACATCCCAATATTGTCACGAAAAGAAATAGGGTCCCCAGGAACCCAAGAGTCTTCCGTCAAACGTACTTGAGAACCAGAACCCACCTTCCAGGCTATACCATTGGATAGAACAGAAAAGCCTTTCAACAAGCCCTGAAAGCCCCAGGAAGAACCGGGAATCCGTGTAGCTTGATTAAGACGAAGAGTCGGATACTTGGCAGATAAAAGCCGAGATACCAGAAGCTGAGGGTGATGACGAATGCGCCAACTCTGACGGGCCAGAAGAACAGAGTTAAAAGAATTTAGACTTCGAATGCCCAGACCACCCATACCCTTAGGGAGGTGTAAAAGAGATTTGGATCTTAAGGCTAGACCCCGAGTATGAGAATCGGACTTCCACCACAAACGAGCTAACCGATTATCGACCTTCGAACAGATCGAAGAAGGAACTTGAAACACGGAGAGAACATGATTGAACGAAGCGACTAGTACTGAATTTATGATGACCAACTTTGCAGCCGCAAATAAGCCCAGAGAAGCAAAGGTCGACAAACGCTAAACCACCTTATCAATAAGAAAGCTAAAGTCTGACACCTTACTTCGTTCAAAATCCACAGGCAAACCAAGATAAGAATCCAAATTAGGTTTACTCTGAAGTTTCAAACTCCGAGCAAGAAATTCCCGATAATTTTATAGGAGTATTCAGACTGAATTTAACAAATGATTTCTGAAGATTAATCACTTGTCCTGATAATGAACAAAAGTCCGATAAAAGAGTCGTAAGATTCTCACTTGCCTCCGGAGTTACTTGAAAAAAAAACAATGAGTCATTAGTAAAAAATAAATGGGATATCGAAGGAGCGCCACGAGAAATGCAGATTCCCTTAAAAAGAGAATCCATTTTAGCCTTTCGGAGCATAGCCGACAGGATTTCCATGCAGAGAACAAATAAATAAGAAGAAAGAGGATCGCCTTGTCGAAGACCACATTGCGGACGAAAGGCCTTGAGAGGATTTCCATTTACCAGAACTTGATAAGAGACCGTAGAGAAACACTGACGGATAATATGGATCCAGTAAGGAGGGAACCCATAAGCTTGAAGCAACCGACACAGGAAATCCCAATTTACCCTATCATAGGCCTTATTCATATATGATTTGATTGCTGCAAAAAACCTCATCCTTGCCTTTGATTTGTTCATGTAAGAAATTACTTCATGAGCTATTAAGGCATTATCCGACAGAAGACGACTCGGAACAAACGCATTTTGAAAATCTGCAACTAAGCTTGGTAAAACCAGACGAAGGCGGGCAGTCAAGCACTTTGCAACACATTTGTAAATTACGTTGCACAAGCCTATGGGACGAAATTGAGAAATAAATTCCGGATGATCTACCTTTGGAAGCAAAGCTAGAAATGTGCGATTCCAATCTTTCAACATATAACCATGAGCAAAAAAATGTTGGACTGCTGCGATCACCGAGGGACCGACAATATGCCATGAAGATTTAAAAAAAGCCGACGGGAATCCATCCGGGCCTGGAGATTTACTATCATCAATGCTAAAAATAGCATTTTTAATGTCTTCCGAGGTAAAAGGTCGCATCAAAAAGGCTTGCTGAACTGTGGACAACGAGGGTAACTGAAGACTGTCCCACCATTCGGAGTCATGAGAAGAAGAACAATCTGACACCGAATATAAGTCTTTGTAGAAATCAAGAGTAATGGAGGCAATCTGATCTTGATCACTGTGCCAACAGCCAGCTGAGTCTCGAAGTCCGAATATTCTGTTTTTCCTTTTTCGTGATTGAACTGAAGAAAACAGGAGACGAGAATGAGAATCACCTAAAGAGTCCCATTTAACCTTTGCCCGCTGTTGCCAGAAGATATAAGCCACATGAGCTTGTTCTACTCTTTCATTTTTGATAGAAAGGAACAAACACCTATCCATCCGAGAGTTGAGGGATTGAGAGGCTTGTTGAACTTCAAATATTATTTGTTTCCAATTGATTCCCCAGGCTTTCTTATGAGAAACACACCACGCGAGGAGACGGTCCCGAGGAACTGAGAGTTTTCGAGATAAAACAAACATAGGCGAACCCGGAAAAAATAAGGAGAAAACTGAATGAATAATATCTTGCATGGCTGGAGCCGATAGACACCAGTTCTCAATTCTATAGGGACTCTTAACATATCCTGGATCAGCTGCATCCGTCAAGATTACAGCAGCATGACCAGAGAACAGAATAGGTTGATGGGTAAGCTTGGTATCTGGGTAGTCTATAAACCAGTTGGGAGACCCGTAGGCTCGATCTAAACGCTCAAAAATAGGGTCGGAGTCTTTCCTATTATTTGTCCAAGTATAATGTGGGCCTGAAAAGGGAACATCCATTAGATCCAAACCTAACCGCCAGTTTATAAAATCCATCTGACCCGAGATATTGTGATTGCCACCTAGTTTATCTGAGACATACTCTACTTGATTAAAGTCCCCATCCAATCGGTCAGAAACATGAGGCGAACCATACACAAACATTACATATTTTATTTCATCTCCTTGCACCAATTTACAGAGATATACATTTTGGGAACTAAAAACAGGCTTTAAACCTACAGGAGAAAACCAACATATAAACATACCACCACTAAGGCCCATAGCATCAATGCCATAGTAGCCCAAAAAAGGCAAAGATACTAACTTCTTAGCTACAATATCTATAGGCAACATGGTTTCCAAAAGACAAACTACATCCAAACCATAAGAGCGGACTAGAGTATTTATATAAGGAATTTTAGGGGAGTCCGCTTGTCCTAATCCCCTACAATTCCAAAGTGCTACTTTCATCCCGAGTTTGGTGACCTTTCACGGGAGGTCACCGATCCCTCAGAAGAGCCATGAGTAGATGAACTGAAATTCGCCTTCCGCTTTTTATATGGGAGGAAACACGGAAGACACACTGAATCTGGAGATTGAGAACAACCTTGCTGCTGAGTCGGAGGAAGCGGCGGAGCAGACGGAGAAATAGCACCTCCAGGACGCTTGCGTAGGCTATACTGCTTAACCCATTCCCAAACTTTTTCTCCCTTCTTACGCAACTTCAAAGGAGAATATGCCCACAACTTACTGCCCATAAATCGCAAAGGAGCACAAGAAGGCGTTTTAGGTGGAGAAGAAACCGGAGTCACCATTGCTGGCGGCGAAGTCGACGGCGAACAGTCCATTGGAACCGGAGAATCAGATGCGGAAAAGTCTTGATCTGGCGCAAAGGAATCATGCTCCGATGATGCCGAATCTTCAACTGGATCAGGTGTGGGATAAAATTCGAAGGCCCCTGATGAAGAATCAGCAATATAACCCGAGAACTCAGAGCTGTCCACCGGAAAAGAAGAAGAGAGTGACGGCGATGGAGAATCAGCTGCTGTTGGGGTTGGAGCTTCCTAGTTGCTCGGCCCAGCTCCAAATGGATCTTCGAAGAGCGGCCTAGAGGGGCCCATTGGAGGTGGCGAGAAAAAAGGAACATCCGAATTAACAGAAGGAACCACTTGATCCATACCCAAATCGGCCTGTAAAGCTTGAAAATATGGGTCCTGAAAATAATTGGGCCAGCCCAAATATGAAGATGAAGAAAACCCATAAAATAGCCCATTAGAAGAAGGAAAACTAGGCTGAGATGAAACAATTCTAGAACTTAAGGCCCAGCCCGAATTAATTTGGCCAAAATTAGAATTGTTAGACTAGCCTTGCACATCAGAAGAATCCAAGAATTGCCGCCATTCATCACGTGATCCATTAAGATAAGAATTCTCAGGAGAAGCTCCTGATCCTAGAGTCATACCATGATGCCTACGATTTGCTCCGGATTCTGCATGAGTGACACGTGGTGTCAATGTGTCAATCTCATCTTGCGTTTCAAGCTGCTCTCTCAGAGCACGATTGTTGCCTAGGACCCTCCGTCGGACTACATGATCCCTACTCCGGAAAACGCCAGGGGCTGGTGGCGGTGATAAACCTGGGAAAGAATCAACCATTGCATGATCGTAAGTAGTAGAACCGGACCTGGAGTCATCCGAAGCCAAAGGTAAGCCAAAACCACCACTATCGTAGTCCGATGGGCGAGAATCAGCAGAATTTTCTTGTGGGTCCTCATCATCATAATCACCAAAAAACAACTCTGTGGTCCAATTCGAACGACCTGGACGAATTCCTCGAAGTGCATTTGAATATAATTTCGAATCAGTAGGACCATAAAGAACACGAGCGCCGCTTTCGTGGAGCTGACGAATGAGCTTCTTGATGGTAGTTAATAGAAACCTGTGTCGCAACACAAGAATCCCCCCATGTCCGACAAAACCGCACTTTTTACAGAATCTAAAAATTTCTTCATATTTAAATCGAACCCACGTGACTTGATTATTAATAGTAGGAAAGTAACAACCAGGTATCAAGGGAAAAGATAAGTCAACTAGAATTTTAACACGAGGGTACGGAATGGGGAACTGACCATTAGAATCATCGACCATAGTCACCTCTCCGACATGTGAAAGAACGGTTGAAGCTATTTCCGGTGTAGAGTAACGAATTGGAAGTCCTTCCACTTGAACCCATAAATCTACTAGATGCAGATTGAGATTAAGAGGTACATGGTGACCTCGAAGACACTGAAGTACGAAAAGACCACCTCGAAAGTGAACCCATCCCCTTGTATCTAGTTCATCCGCATCCTCCGGAGTGCCACGGAAAAAGATATAGTCTTTGCCATAGGGATAAACTCGAACAGGAGCTCTTAGGTGCCAAAATCTAAAACAAGCCGCTGGACCATAATAGCAGTGTAGTCGTCTCTATCGTCCCAGCAACGGCCTATAACACTGCAATTCCAGTCTAATCCTAAACCATCATCAAGAGGGGGTGGAGGTATATAATCTTCTCCTATGTAGTGGGGGTAAACAAAAGTTGAAGGATTAACAAAACGAGACATAATTCTTAAGCGAACGATAATTCCTAAGGAACAACGATTGAACAGTAACAGGAAGAACAACTTGAAAAGTTAGGAAAGTAAGTCAGAAGGGTGAAGTTTATGTGTGAGGATTTTCTCACTCTAGAAAACCTTTCTGTCTCTCTCTAGAGAGTTTTAGGATTTATAAGTTAAAGCCAGTTAAGCTACCTATTGAGGCTCACATTAAGCTTATCGTACTAGATTTGAGAGATCTTTTGATAGGAGCTACACCGACAAAAATCATCAATACTATATACTAAAAGACACACCAAGTGTGTCCTTAATTATTAATTATTTTTTTATATAAAAAATCTATTAATTAAGGAAACAAATCAATTTCAAAAATAATATTATTTGTTGTATATATTCCATATTTTTTTGAATGGTACATATTCCATATTATGTAGTATATTTAAAATAAAAAGATTTCACAAATAATTTTTTTAAAACAGAAAATTGGACAACTATAAACCAAAAATTATATTCTTAAAATAAAATATTTTGTGATTTTTTTACAACAAAAAATTATTTTTCGGATTTATTGCCTACTTTATTTTTAATTGTGTATTAGAAGCTACATCAAAATTTAACATATCACATACTTTTATTGTTTCTCGACTAATTTATGGTTATTATATTTATTTATTAATAATGTATAACGATCACCGTGCATGACACGAGATCTAACCTAGTTATTGAAAAGGTTGAGCGGTACCATCATACAAGTAATATAGTTGCATATCATATGTAAAATCATTTCTTATTCAATTACTAAATGATTTGGGAATCAAGAAATTGAATTTAGCAATACTCGTGTAATAACAACACTTCTATAGCTATAGCTATAGTTATTTAATAGTTTTAATATAAAACAACGAAGCAATGTTGAACTGAACTGTTGTTTATTTATGTTTAGCATCTTTGATTTCAAATGTAAAGTCGTAACATTTTCTTAAATTATTTGATAATTTCCTATTTACCAACTATGTGTCACATTCTCCTCACATATATTAACACTAGGTTAAGTCCCGTGCCATGCACGGTCATAATTAAATTTTACAACAAATAAATTATAAATAATAGTGTAAATTTAACATTATTTTATCTAAAAAAATTATTTGTAACAAAATAACTTGAATTTTAGTTCATTCCAATACCAAATACTGAAATAAGTAAATTTTATTGAATTGGATTGTATAAAAAAAAAATAATAATAGAAATTTAGAATCTATAAGGTTTTATGTAATAAAATTAAAATATTAGCTTAGATTTGTACCCATATGCGAATTAATATACATCTATCCTTAAATTATTAATACATTTTCACAGAAATATGAAAATTTATTTGATTTTATTTTACTTTAGAATAATCAATATTTCGTAATCAACTTTTTAAATATATTTTTAGTGAGTAATAGGAGTTTTATTTTTATTTTTTTAAATCATATAAATATTAGAGTAATTAGATTAAATTTTCCAATATATGTTATGTATTATATAATTGAATGATTTTGTTCTTATAAATGTTATATAATTTTAAGATTTATATAATGTATGCTACCAAATGATATTTTTTTAATTAAAATAAATTTTATTGTCAAATGATGAAAGTTGGAGAAAAAAAAAAATTAATATTGACAATATTATAATAATATTGGAAAATAATATGTTACAATACCTTATTTTTAATCTATCTTATTATTGATGTAACTAAAAGTTTCCTAGTATATAAAATATATGTACAAAAAATTGAGTATAATGGGATTAAATATGTTGTTAAATTGAAAATAACTATTATTGTAGGTTATTAAATGAATGTCATTAAAATATCGCAAAAAAAATAAAAGGAAAGAAAAAAAGGCGGGAAATTTTTTAACCAGGAAATGACAAGTGTCATTCCAGGTTTCGCCTTTAGTATAGGTTTATAGATGTATGTAAATGAATATTTCAAAACATACAATTTAGTTTATTTTATTTATTTATTTTTTAAAAAGAATTACTTATTGTCCCTTCCATGTTTTGTTTTTACAAATTACTTATCTAACAATAATTAGTGTTATCCTTTGTCATTATATTTATCTAACTAATCTTCATTTCTTCAATTTTGTAAATAGTACTCCTTATATTAACTGAGGTATTATAACTAAACATGTCATGGTTCTTATCTCATAACCGCAGACTTGTTATATATTTGATTGAATAATTTTTTATAGGTAAATGATTCATTAGTTGCAGCTAAAACTAGACTTCATAATGTTATGGAAGAAAAAAATCAATTTGAAGAAGGAAGTACTAAACATTTTCAAGATTTACAATTAAAGGTATCATTATACATTGTATCCAATCTAAGGTAGGAAGTCTAGTAAATATATCAAGATTCAAGACAGTTGTGACATTTGTAATTTCGTGTTTAAATTGAAGGGTTGTTTTCCAATATGAAAAATTATTTTAAACAAAAAGTAGTTCTATATATACTACTAGTAGTTATTATCTTACAAAAAAAAAGGAAGTATATAATTTATAACTCTACTAGATTAATCCTATGCGTTGCACGGTTTAATTGGATTTTATTTGTTTAAAATAGTTGTCAATATTCTTTATTCGAAATAGTGTAATCATAATCTTATTTATTGATTTTGAAAGACATATTGTAATTGTTTGGCATTGCTGTGGTTTTCTGTTTTTCGGTTTTTTGTTTTCTAAAAATATATGATATGTGTCCCATAATGAATCAAAAATTATATAAACTTATTAAAATTATTATAATTTTGAAAACTGACAACAGAAAAGTGGAAACACCTTTTTCTTGTTTCCTATTTTTGGTTTTCAAAAAAACAGGAAACTGAAAATC